GTGCCATGGAGGGCGTAATAGAATAGGAATACAACGTACTATTTATGTTCATCGGGTGGAAATTTGTCTAAGCTCAAAAACAAGATATTAAGATACTGAATGCTAGTTAGAAAACGCACATGGACAAGGTCACATTACAAATTTAAGGACAGTTCATGTTCAGTGTCCTTGTTAATCTACACTCTTCTGTTCGAGTTAAGAAATTAGTCCACTTTGGGGATGGAAGGATTTTAATCATCATATAATTAGAAACATTTTTTTGAACCAATATTACCAACAAAAAACATTTTCATTATTGTTGCTTTGTAAGTAGTAATATAGTAATATAATGAAAAGCCCTCTCTGGGAATGGAATTAGTTATTGTCAAAAAAAAAGCCATGACCTGAGAAATGTACCTGATTTAAACTGACTAATGGCAAGTTTTGGATTGACTATTTACTTTTGCTGGGACTGCACATAATCAGGGATACCATAAAAAAAAGAGGAAGCTGGAAGGGCTTTAGACCAAAATAATAATATAACTTATAACAACTTTTTCAGTCAGCTCAGAAGCTACTCCGAGCCCGACTGATGATTGCCAACTTCACGCTAACGTTAATAGCGTATATTTTTTAAATTAATTCTTGTTTTAATGCAAGATACGTGCATGCATTCAAGCACTAGATTAGCAGATGCCAATGCTCATCGATTAAAAAAACACTTTGGAGGTTTTAAGCAACAAAACTACTTGGCTTAGGGTTTTAGACAACAAAACTATCTTTGTTCATTAGGGTTTGCAACAAACCTACTTGGTTTAGTTTTTAGGCGCATAAACCCACGTGCTAGTTTAGGAAAATATCATGGTTTGGGATTATATAGTATGCTATCACAGCGTTAACACGTGTCATGTGAAGCAGGCCCTGGCCAATCAGTGGCTTTATGTACACGTGTCTCTTCACCCTGAAAAGCAGTGGGATCCATAATAATGCCTGAAAGAGCCTACACTCTAGTGGCTATATAGCCCCTGTCACTGGAGTAGGTGTATGTCTCTTCTGCATATTAACATGTGTTGAATAGGAGAGAGAGGGGAGAGAGAGAGAGTGAGCCATTTCATTCAGGGGGCCTAGTTTTTGTAGGAGGGCCGCGAAAAATCTTTGATCGAACAGATATGTAAAACTTGTATTTAAAGTCAAACTAATAAAATAGGCATTACAAATTAGCGGCTTTGCGTGGTTTGGAGAACTAGAAGGGCCATACAGTATTTAAATTTAAAAATTGGAATGAGAAGTTTAAGAAAACAGTTAATACGGAGTATAGCTCATGACATTGCGATCAGTTGGGAAGTTCTGAATGAATCTTTCAGGACTGCAAAAATTATTTTCACTTAATCTGAAAAATATTTTTCTTGGTCAGGAAGCAATGAAAAAATCCATCATGGATGAGGGCATCTTCAGACGTATTGTTTTTCTGATTAACGCCAAAGATATTACATTATACAAAGATCTAAAAAGAGAGAAGGGCAGCAACCTTCAGTGGAGAAGCTGGAATTCACGTAGGGGATTGGGGACTATGGCACATAATTACAATATTATTTGCGTATCATGATAAAAATCTGGTGTAATATGATCACAAGCTTGACTTAAAGTTATAGCTCCCTAGATACCATCCTGTATTATTTACCTGATTTATCTGGAGTCCACATCCTTTCCAGGTATTCCAAAAACTCCTAATTTTGTCTCAATGTTCCTGAGGCCCCAGCTTATGGTTGTAGTATCCCACACAAAAACGGTTAAACCAGATTCATGGAAATAATATAGATCAAAATACGAAAGGAGATAAGGTCCTATCTGCGAGCAAATACAAATATGGTGTTTTTAATGAAATGTAAAGTAAAGTGATGCATTTCCATTTTAAAAATATGAAGTATTTTTCATGATGTATCGTATAATATTATTGTGTATTGAATGTATTATTTGGCCTACCATATATTATTTACTTATTACTATTCTTACCTTTTTGATAATCGTAAAATTAATTTCATATATCGTCCATGTCTCAAGTGAAAATGTAATAACTATCAAAATAATTCCTATCAATATTTCTGGTCAAATGTAACTAATCATTGATTTATTTGTTCAATCTGATTTTTATTGCCTGAATGGCTATGCTATAGTTTTGTTGACAAGTGGAAAAAAGATACGGGCAAGGTAAAATCAGTGGACTGGGGGCATCCTTTCACTGTTTAAAAATACTTCTTTTTCCCGCTGATGCTTACCCACTAAATCTCTTATGTCCATTGTATTTATCCAGATGACAGATGGAGGAGATTGCATCAAAATGTTGATAGCTCATCCTTCACAGTGAGTTCACAACATAAGCTTTTCAGGCAGGCTGCACAATCCTGTGATTTGTAAAGGGGTGTTCTAAACTGATGAGGATCCTGAATACAAATTCAGGTGAACAATTACTTGATGTTGTATCCATCAAAGCTACGGAAAGTCAAGGACAGGTGTTGTTTTAGTATTGGTCTTTTAGTGTTGTATACAGCATTTTTACTTTGTTTTCTGTCTTTCCCGTCAGACTTCATATTATTTTAGGAAGAACGATTCATCATACAGTGTAGACTGATATGACTATATTTCATGAAGAAATGATCATCATACAGTTTGGACAAAAAGCTTCCAACTAATGTTTAAATATATAGTTATTCTGTTGAACTTAGTAATACTGTTTCTAAGGGTCCAATAAATAACTTTCACGTCATTGCAAACACCTACTTTGGACTGAGGTAGGTCTGTAACAGGACATCAATGATGTCAGGAAAGGACTAGATGAGCCCAGTGTGCAGGCTGACAGCTTACTGCGTTGCACAAAATCCTATTGGACAATGACAGACTTTTACAACATACAGACAGGATTGACAAAACGTATCATTCCCGTGGGTTGAGTATGAAATATATGTTTGATCAAATGATCAGAGTCAGAAAATGGTGAGAAATGTTTCCAAGCCCAAGGTGATATCCTTAAATGTCCTGTTTTGTACAACAACGTGAAAAATTTCAGTTTATCGTCATAGGAGAACAGAATCTTGACATATGAGAGCTTGGAAATAGAAAATTTGGCATTATTCTTAAAAACGACTCAATTATAAATGTGGCGATTTCATTAGTAAATGCATGACTAATCACTGCTGGTAGGTTGAGGATGTGAACACTGACCCTGCGTAAAGGGAATCATAACGTTCCTTGGACATTAATGGGTTAGATAGAAGTAAAAAGAGTAAACAGTCCACCCAGGAAAAGTTGCGTTTGCACATCAAAACAAATTAAAATCCTGTGGATATTCGCTTGCCTTGCATTTTGTCCAATTACGAACTTTACCAATTTGACCAATCATTGTAGCTTTCTTGATTTCACTTTCATGCAGTCCACAGAGCAAAAGGTTAAGCCCACAGTACAACTAATCGGAACTTTATTGTTGCTTCAATTTTTTTAGTGAGTTAACAAAAAAAGCTATTATCTTTTCACTTTTTCCTGCAAAAAATGCCGAAATTGGTTTTTAGTAGACTGAATGAAATCCCAAAAGCCAAGCAGTTTTAATCTGAATGACTGGTAAAAGGTGTTTTACATGACACTGTGGCAATGCAACTTTTAAAGTAAGGATCTCAGTAATATTGTCTACCACTTGCTGTTGCTATGGATAGAAAAAATGGACTTCAGAGTTTACATGGGGGGAAAGGAGACCATTTACTTTAAACGCAGAATTAATGACTTACAGTTTAAGCTTGTTTGTAATTTAGACAATCTTG